GTGAAGCTCTTTTCAGATTAAAAATACCTTTGAGGAAATGTATTTTCAGATGACAAGTAAACTGCATCATAGCAGCCCCCCCCCCACCTCCAAAATGGGCGGGACAGAAGCAGAAGGCGGTTTTTAAAGAGACAGAGGCCAATTTCAAGGTGTTTAGAAGAGGAAGTGATTTAAACATAAAAACAGCATTTTAATAACAGTTAAAGGTGACAGATACTTTGTTATGGTGTAGTATTTAAATATATGCCTGAGAAACACATAATATTGCCCTTTTAACTGACATATTTCTCCTTCAAAATGGTATGTTTGAGCTAATTTAAAGCAAAACAAAGCTTAACACATTCAAAACCTTGTTGATTAAAATACAATGTAGAATTTACATTTGCAGGAATTTATGACAAATTTATTGTGTGTTGTGTTTTTACAAACCAAACTTCCTGTTTTTAAATAGATTTATTATTTTGGGCTTGAATTCTCAGAAGCCAGCTGGACATCAACAATAAGAAGTCGGTGGCCGATGCAATCCACGACGAGCACGCCTTCCTGCAGAAGAAATACCCGTCTCTGGCCAACAGAAACGGAACCAAATACCTGGCCAGAACCCTCAACAGGTAAACCCAAAAACTTTAACCTTCGTAAGCATTTCTTTGTTCTGAGTTAATTTAGTGATTAAAGGGCTACAGGTTTATCATTTAACATTATGCTTATTCTTATGTTGATTGGAGTAGATGACGGGGATGACCCYCAGCTACTACCACACCAAATTTTAGCTCAGTATCTGTAAAAGTGACTGATTTATACTAAAGTTTGTGTCTTCTAAGTTCAGTTGTCTTTGGCAGCTGTTTTTAATTTGATTACCTCTAAAAATGATTCATTTGTTGAGATACATGAAGAGATTAATTACTGAAGATTTCATGACCACACTTCAAATGGTTATTGARATATTTTGCTAACAGACATAGAGTTGACTCAAATSGTTTGAAACACAGATTTTTCACAATCAGTTAGTTCTCACAGTATAAGTTTGGGATCAGTCTCAGCAGCTACCATGCTGAATTTTAGCTCATCTGTAAAATAAGCTGAAATTTAGCCATTTTTGTGTATGCTAAGTTAACTTAGCTGTAGCGGCCATCTTGAATTGGGTTGAATTCAAAAGTTAATCAGATGTAGATGTGCAACTAGTCATTTTATTTTGAAAGTTTAAAGAAATTCTGTCTTGGGGTTCATGKGATATTTTGCTAACAGAAAAACCTCATCTCCTTTGGTAGTGGGTGACACTAAATTAATTTTTTTCTGATCAAAGGCTTAAGTATGCACATTTTAAAGCTTCTAAACCATAAAAAATGATGTTTTGAATTTAAAAAATGCCTGAAAAGTGAGTTTTTCTATCATAAAACTGTTTTATTTAACATATTTCAACTTCTAAGTGAGTTTGTTGTCCAGGAATTAGTCAGAGCCATCTGAGAACAGCTGTGATTTGCTGTCACGACGTCAGGTTACTGATGCATCACATCCGAGACTGCCTCCCCGAGCTGAAGACGCGGATCAACGTCCTGGCGGCCCAGTACCAGTCCCTGCTCAGCAGCTACGGCGAACCCGTGGAGGACCAAAGCGCCACCTTGCTGCAGCTCATCACCAAATTCGCCACGGAGTACTGCAACACCATCGAGGGCACGGCCAAGTACATCGAGACGGCCGAGCTGTAAGTAGCGTCTCCGGCCACACGGGGGCGCCRTCGGCTCAGAGGAGCCCAGCCGCTCCATCATTTAAAAACGGACTTGTGAGTCGAGGCACAGCTCCTCTAACAGGAGCGCGGGCCGCGGGGTTCTCATCGCAGCTAATAGCCACCTCCCTGCTGCTTTTCAGGTGTGGCGGAGCCAGAATCTGTTACATCTTCCACGAGACTTTTGGTCGAACGCTGGAGTCTGTGGATCCTCTGGGAGGACTCACCACTATAGACATCCTGACAGCCATCAGGAACGCAACAGTGAGTTCAGCAGAGGCAGATTATTATCAGGAGGAGGAGGTTTCTGCTGAAGGCAGAAACCTCCTCCTCCTGATAATAATCTGCAACGTTACAGATAATAAATAATCTGTAACGTTCAAATATCATAAACCACAGGAAGGAAAGAATCAGCGGTTGTACAAACCTCATCAAGATTTCATGACAGGTGGTGACATCACCCCGGTTTGTTTCTAACCTGCCCCCCGCCCTCAGGGTCCGCGCCCGTCCCTCTTCGTGCCCGAGGTTTCCTTCGAGCTGCTGGTGAAGAAGCAGGTGAAGCGTCTGGAGGAGCCCAGCCTGCGCTGCGTGGAGCTGGTCCACGAGGAGATGCAGAGGATCATCCAGCACTGCAGCAACTACAGCACGCAGGTACCCTCGTCATCCTCGGGAATGCTGAGTCAGCGTCACTCGCTCTCCGTTGTTTTTAATATTTCGGTTTCATCTGTGCCTTTCTGAACCGCTTCAGCGTGTTTTCAGCTGTTTAAACAAGTCAGACATCAAAATGTTCAGCTTGTTACCTATGACCTTTTGTTTTTGAGACTTTTGTTTATTTTGAGATTAATTTAACTGAAATGAAACAATTTCTTCAGTTCCTTGACAAACTTTGTGTTTTGTTTGGTTAAAACATTTGTACGGCTAGTTTTAGCTTTCAGCTACTGTTGTATTGCTTTTAGCTGTTAGAAGCTTTTTACCTCATGTTTTATTCATTTGAGCTTTAGCTACTATTGTACTGTTCTTAATCTTTGAATTATTTCTTGGCTTTGAGCTAATGTTGTTGGTTTTAGCTGTTAAATGATGTTCAGCTTCTAGCTGTCATTTTATTAAAATGAACTTTTAGCTGTGTTTCTGCCAATTTTACTTTATGGTTTTGTTAATTTCAGCTTTAGCTAATCTTTACTTAGTTTGTTGTCAGTTTTAGCTTCTTTAGGAAATGTTAGCTTTTAGCTGCTATTCTGCCAATCTCAGCTTAAGCTACTCTTTTGCTATTCTTGCCCTTTTGTCAAGCTAATTCTAGCTTTCAGCTACTGTTTTTGATTTTATTTGTTAGATGCTGTTCAACTGATCTTAGTTTTTTGGCTATTGTTGTGTTATTTGAGCTTTAGCTATTTTTGTTGCTCTTAGCCTATAGATTGCTAATTTTAGATTTCAGCTACAATTGATATTAGCTGTTAGATGCTGTTCGACTGATAGTTTTAAGCTAATGTTTTGTTAATTTGAACTTTAGATACGCTGCTGTTCTTAGCCTTAGCTTTTGGATGCTATTCTTTTTTCAGTTACTCTTTAGCTAATCTGCACCTTTAGCTATGCTTCTACCAGTTTTACTATACAGTTTAGCAAATTTCAGCTTTAGCTAACATTTTGTTTGTTGTTGTAGGTTTAAGCTACATAAGAAAAATTAAGCTTTAGCTGCTGTTCTTAGCCTTTGTGTGGCTAATTGTAACTTTCAGCTACTGTTTTTGATTTTATTAGTTAGATGCTGTTCAACTAATCTTTTTTGGCTATTGTTGTTATTTGAGTTTTAGCTATTTTTGCTGCTCTTAGCCTTTTCTATTGCCAATTTTAGATTTCAGCTGACGTTGATATTAGCTGTTAGAAGCTGTTCAACTGATAGTTTTTAGCTACTTTTTTTGTTAATTTGAACTTAAACTCCTTTGCTGTTCATAGTTTTTTTTGCTAATTTTAGATTTCAGCTACTATTGTTGGTTTTAGTTTTTAGATGCTGTTTTCAGTTATTGTTTAGCTAATCTGAAATTTTAGCTATGCTTCTACCAGTTTTAGTTTACAGTTTAGCAAATTTCAGCTTTAGCTAACGTTTTGTTGTTGTAGCTTTAAGCTAATTAAGAAATGTTAAGCTTTAGCTGCTGTGCTTAGCCTTTGTGTGGCTAATTCTAGCTTTCAGCTACTGTTGTGTCAATTATAGGTTTAGCAGCTCATTTTATCAGTCCTAGCTTTTACCCACTGATTTGCTAAATTCGTATTTTAGCTTCTCCTGATGGTTTTGGATAATTMAACTTTCATCTGCTGTTCTTAGCCTCAGCTACTCTTTTGTTGTTTTTAGCATTTAGGTACCATGTAGCTCATTTTAGCTGGATCATGTTCCAGTTGTCCTTTCAGCTGATGTTTTTATTCCAACAGGAGCTGCAGAGGTTCCCGAAGCTCCACGAGGCCATAGTCGAGGTGGTGACCTCGCTGCTGAGGAAGAGGCTGCCCATCACCAACGAGATGGTACCGACCTCGGCCCGCACAGGTTCTGACCCGTTAGCTCGGACCCGTCCAGTCTGAACTCGTCTTCTGGTTGCAGGTCCACAATCTGGTTGCCATCGAGCTGGCGTACATCAACACCAAACATCCCGACTTCGCAGACGCCTGCGGGGTCATGAACAACAACATCGAGGTGCGTCCTCGCAGGAAAATAAACATATGTTTAAAAAAAAATAAAGTTATTTATTCAGCTGGGTTTGTTTTTCTAGGAGCACAGGAGGAACCGGATGAGAGAGCTGCCCTCTGCAGTTCCTCGAGACAAGGTAAAAACCTCAAAAAGTTTCTAAAATCTCATAAAAGCAGCTGCTTCGGAAAGTTTCCACCAGAGAATTTCATCCAGCATCTCCTGTCTGAGTGAATCTTCTCAGCTTTCCACTGCCAGCCTTTTTTTTTTCCTTCCCTCGTCTCATATTCCTGCTGCTAGTCTGCTGGCAAAGGCCTGGCTGTGGTTTCTGGCGAGACCGCTGGATCTGGAGCAGACATGGACGGTGCCAAGSTGGGCGCGCGCTGCAGCCGAATGGATGTGCATGAGCTGCCGGCACGCTCTGTGATCTGTCTGCTGTGCTCCGAAGTCTTTACGACACAACTTTCATCCTCCTGCTGGCCTCCTTCTTTGACCTTCTGCAACTCTGTCCCAAACATTTTACTTTATTTTTCTGTTTATAGAAGCAGCCGTTTGGACCAAATGTTAGGGTTGCAGTTTTGACTGATGATCATGTGACTTTAGGCATGTTGTTGAAGTAATTTATTAGTTAGAAACTGATTTAGAAGCACCACACTATATTCATAGTTTTCCTTTTTAAGTATTGACTTTTATAATCCATTGTTTAACTGTTGTTATGTCTTGATTAAAATAGTTTAGATACATGCCCGAAAACATTATGACAACAAATAGAAATACCGTTATTAATTCATTAGGAAAGATGTGTGTTCGAGTGGCTTCACTCATAACCAGATCTGGGTTGTATGGTCCCTGTTCTTGTCACATTTTAATCTATTCAATATTTATGTGGTTTTGTCACGATTTCAGTTAACGAACACGAAATGTTTCTTACAWTCCCTTGAGGATCCACCTTCTTTGAAGCACCTGCTTGTTCTCCTCCTTACCTGCATTTTGAACCCTTTTGATGAACTCTGCAAGCTGTTTTATTAACTCTGAGGTCTTGTTCTCAGGCCCCGGCAGCAGCAGGGTCCCAGGGCGAGCAGGACGGCACCGGCACCTGGAGGGGGATGCTGAAGAAAGGAGAGGATGCACCGGGATCTGGACCAGGAAGTCCACTAAAAGGAGCTGTCAACCTGCTTGATGTGGTAAAAATGTGGTCTGTTRTTAGRTTTTTGTTGTTGTTTTTGGTGAATTATTTTGAACTTACTCTTCATTTCCCCCCCCCCTCCAGCCCGTCCCAGTAGCTAGGAAGCTGTCGTCACGTGAGCAGCGAGACTGTGAGGTCATCGAACGCCTCATCAAGTCTTACTTYCTCATCGTGCGCAAAAACATCCAAGACAGGTAAACCAACAGAACCAGGGGTCCGAATCATTGACACAGGTTCTCAAACTGGGGTCTGTGAGCCRTATCTCGGGGGTCATTTAAAACTTGTCAATAAATTGTTAATTTTATTTTTATTTKAAAAAATGTATATGGGGAACAATGCGCTAGTAAAACAAACATATTAAACCAAACAAACAATAATATTCCCATGRCATTTAGGGATTAAAATGACAGTAGATCATTTTTAAAATAGCATGGGGTTTATGAGGGGTCCCTGAAAATGGTTTACCCTTATAAGGGGTCCCCAGACCCAAAACATTAGAGAACCCCTGGTCTAAGTACACAGGTGCCCAAAGTGGGGCCYGTAGGCCAACACTGGCCCCTCTAGCCATTTGATTTGGCCCACTGGCTAGTAGGTTTTAATCTCCTGTTTTATGTAGAAACACTTTATTTTCACTTACTCATTCTAACCATTGGTCTAACTATATAAGGAGCTGTAGTGCAGATACAGTGGGGAAAATAAGYATTTAGTCAGTCACCAATTGTGCAAGTTCTCCCACTTAAAAAGATGAGAGAGGCCTGTAATTGACATCATAGGTAGACCTCAACTGTGAGAGACAAAATGTGAAAAAAATTTGAGAAAATCATTTTGTCTGACTTTTAAAGAATTTCTTTGCAAATAATGGTGGAAAATAAGTATTTGGTCAATAACAAAAGTTCATCTCAATACTTTGTTGTATATCCTTTGTTGGCAATGACAGAGGTCAAACGTTTTCTGTAATGCTGCGTTCACACTGAACGCGATTTCAGCTTCAAAATCGCAGCCAACGCTGAAGTTGGTCGCTTGTGCACTTTGAGGTCAGATGCAGGTCAGCTGTTGAAGCGCTCGTACGGCAAGAGCCTCCCCGCCCCTCCCTCCTCTGTCGGGCTCTGTTTAATGTCGGACGAGGAAGTGGCTTTGCTTTATTTACAGAGAGCATGTCACGTTCATCAGATAATTAATTCATAATTATTTCACCAGATAATTCAGAGACATTCTGAGTTTCATCACCCAGGAGCTGCGGGAGAGGCTCACAGCTC